GCTTGTTACATCCATATGACTTCATAAGTACTTGTAAAAATGATGAAAATGCCCCTTTATCCGTATATGATTTTATATGTTTCCTTATTATTTGTATATTAATTATTAAATAAATGGGTTCACCACCACCAACGGCGACCACAACCACCATTACTAATCAGTATTGTCACCACCACCAATCACCAATCACCACCTTCATCACCGTTAGTCAGTGCAACCATCACCATTAATCACCGCCACCGTCACCATTACCGGTCACCACCACCAGCACCAATCAGTAACTACCACCACCATTAATCAACACTACCATCATCATCACCACAACCATCGGCTAGACCCGACAAAGCCTGACACGACTCAACAACATGACACAAAATTAACAGTTTTAGGTAAGAGATTTCGAAACGTTTAAGTAAACGAGTTGACACGACATGACATAGAAACTAAACGGGTTGGGTTAGGGTCAAGACTTTCTACTCGAATATGACCGGTTTAATTATATATCATTTTTTTTATAAATTTCATATTTTTAAAAGTTTCATATTTTTAAAAATATATTATATATTGTAGACTTGTAGTAGGCCAAAACTCAAAAATTAAAATTAATATACAAACTTTCAAAGTGACTTAATTTTACTCCTCCACACCATCTATCTCATTTGCTCCCTAATTCTAACTTTTTCCATTTTTTCTTTTAAATTTACTATGAACTTTGTCATTTCACCTCTCAATTTTAGTGTTTCATTTTTTTCCTTTTCGCTTCTCCGTCTCCACTTTCCAACTTTTAAAATGCTTTAACATGACATAACACAACACATTTACAAGGTCTAAACCATAACCAGAAACCTGGCACAAAATCGACACAAAAATACACAGATTGACACCACACGACACGATAATTAAATGGGTCGAGTTAAGGTCAAACCCTCTCAAGTTGTTTAATGTCTTGACATGACACAAACTCAACACGACACAACATGTTTTCTAGGTATACTATCGGCCACCACAACTACCATCGCTAATTAACATTATCACAACTACCATCATTATCACCACCATCAATATCACGAATCAATAACTAGCACCACTACCACCACCATTATCACCAATATCGTCTAAATAGAAATGAACCATCGTGCTTTATGCTTGAATCCCAACCCCAAAACTATCAATCTAAATATAAAGCTATCAAACTCTTCCCTCACCGCCATTATTGGTGGTGATAGGAGAAGGGGTTGTTAGTGGTTGAGTAGTAATGGGAGAAGGAGAAGGATAAATATATAATGGGTTCAACGATTTAAGAAAATGCTACACGAAATGTGAATGGGTTGGCAGTGTTTGAGAACTAGTGGTTAATAGAGGTGAGAGGCAGAGAAGGTAGCAATAGTTTGTCTATCAAAAGTAGATTAGAAAAGGTGCGATGGAGTTGTAGGTACCAATGTACGAAGTTGCGCCTAATAAGAGAGATAGAGGGGTTGAGAGAGATCGGTGGCCGAATATGCAGATAAGAGAGAGAGAGAGAGAGAGAGAGAGAGAGAGAGAGAGAGAAGCTCTTTAATGAAAGTGAAGCAATTGAAAATTAGTCAATAATCAAGTCAGACTTTTGAAGTCGAAGTGTGACTTGATTACGGGACGTTCAGTTCAGAAGTTATTGTGGTACATTTTTGAAGTTGATCAATTTGGTTCACTTATCACATCTGTAGACTGGAATCTCACTCTTCAACACTGGAGATGATTGTCCTTCGATGCTTAGAAGACTTTAACAATACAAGCTCTCTTGGTGGGAGAGATCCCACCATACTCTCTCTAACTAGAGGACTACATGTTTTTATGCATACATAAACTAATGACCACCCCCTCTATTTATAGAGTAAAAGGGAATCTTACAAACATAAAGGGAATATTCTAATCTAATTATCACTCATAATTTGTAGAGCATTTACATGCTCCAAAAGGTGGTCGGATATGCAGATAAGAGAGAGAGAGAGGGAGGGAGAGAGAGAGAGAGAGAGAGAGAGAGAGAGAGAGAGAGAGAGCTTTGGAGTTACTAGGAGGTTAGAGGTGATAGAGTGCAACATTGTATGAGGTTGGAACCTTTTAGGGTTTTTTTTTCAAGTTTTTACATAAATGGTCCACAAGGTTAGTAAAATGACAAAAAACCATAAAATAGGTAGGGGTATTTTTGTATTTTATAGGAACCGAATGGATTCGTATGGATGGTAACAATTGAAGAGGCTAACGTTGTTCTAGATTTGCCAACTATGATGATCGTTGTTGTTAAATTTCAAAAACTAGGACTAAAATTGCATATTCGTGTCAACCTTGACACAGGACCCGTTTTGTAACTTACTTTAAATTTTTTTACCCTTTTTTTTCTATAATTTTTTTAAAATAATTATGTCAAGTATTAGACAAATACTATCCTAACTAGGTGTAAGACTCATGTATTACATGAGTTCATTTAAAAAAGAAAAAATCAAAATATGACATTCTAAATATTTGAGAAGTTTGAATTTATAAGAAAAATTAGAAAAATATTGAATTATTAAAATTAAATTGTTTTTTCTCTTTTAAATTTAAACAAAATAATTTTGATAAATAAACAAAGAAAACTAATGGGGTTTTAATTTATAAAATTTTGAAATTAGAAAGAAAGTCAATTAATGAAATTGCTATGCATTTACTATTACATTTATTTCAATTAATACATTTAATTAATTATTATATGAAATTTAATAAAAATGAAAACAACCACAAAATGTCACGTGGAAAAATATTTAATTGAAAATAACCACAAAATGACATGTGGTGAAATCAATGAGTGTGACATGTGACAAAAAGATTTTTATTTATTAGATGAGATATGCAATAGACATTCTACTTAATTTTTTGTTTATAATTACAACCAATTAGGTTTTTTTTAGTATCCACCACTAACCACAAATATGATGGATGTCATGTCACTGTCTATCACCACACACAACCATATTAAGTTGGTATACTCACCACCACTATCCAACAATACAAATCATCTTTTTTGTTTAAAATTAAATCAAAATATAATAAAAATGCTATATTATTTTATTAAATTAGTTTTTTCATTCATTAAAATATAAAAAAATGCATTGATTAAAATTACAAAAAAAAAGACGATTTGAAAAAAATGATCTAACATAAAAATCTCAAACATAGAAAAAAAAAATAATCCCTATTATGGAGCATCTGTCAACTTTAGCCAATGTTAGACATAGAAAAAAGCTTTGTGGGTTGTTGTTTTTTCATATTGTTCCATGGTCACGCTAAACACATCAAAAACGCTTGACTCACTTTTGTGTAGATATGTGAGATTGTTGAAAATTCCGTTGAATTCGATACATTTCAACCTCAAATCGCACCACTTTGAAGTAGTTTGATTGGGATTTCAACTTTCATTTCCCATTAAATCATCGAAAACGATTAAAACCTTTTCCCAAAAATAATTAGACATTTAAGCATTTCCAACTAAGGGGTCCTGGGAAGCCGAAACCCACACTTGTGTTAAATTCACTTCTTCGTCCTTTGTCCAAGCTACCCTTTCATGTTGAGTGGTTTTAGCAGATTTTTTCCCTTTCTTTCTTATTGGTTGAGGTTTTTTTAGTTGTGTTTCAGCTATACAATCCGAAGAATCCGTTGGTGAAGGTTGTGATTGTGAAATTTGTTGTGGTGAAGGTTGTTGTTGTGGTTGTGTTTGGAAAGGTTGTTGATATACGAAAACGGATCGGAAGTTTGTGGATAAAGTGGGAAAATTTTGTATGATTGTTTAAAAAGTTGAGTTTGTAGGATAAGGGAACCACCTTGGAGCAAGTTTATAAAACCACATTGAGGTGATACCATATTCAAGTACTATTGACATGGAGTTGTATCTAACCCAAAAACATTATCAAAATTGCGGTTTCAAGTACTTGGTGGGGATATTTTGATTTTGATCCATAATATTTGGATTTTGACAAGATTAATGGGTGCACGTAAATAGAGGAAAATAAGAATGATGTGGAAAATAAGGTTGTTTGGGGTTGTATTTCTAGGTGAAAACGTATTAGATATTAAAAAAATGAATAGTCAAACGGTCCCAACCGAGTCAAACGAAGCCTCCCTCTCCTAGTGATCATTGTGGTTCATTGTTTACACCACAAATCACCACGACCACGACCGATCACAACCCACTTGTTGACAATTCGGGTTTAAAGACCATTTATTTAATAACCACCCATGTGTGCACTTACATTTATTTTTTGTTGTTTAAACTTTAAAGTCAATAACAACCTCCACCAACATCGTTTCTTTTCCAGCAAGACCACCCAATCAAAAAAACACAAGTAAATCTAAGAACCCTGAACAAGCTTCAAAACTAAATCATATATAGATGAAATTATAAAAAAAAAAAAATAAAAAAAAAAAAACTAACCAAAACTTAAATCTTAAAGCCGTAGTGAATTTTCATTTTTATTACACCCACACGTATTTGGAGTAAGTCGCATTCTTTTCACAGAACACGAGATTAAACAGAAGTAAAACATGGTCTGTACATGAGAGCTTTTGAACTAGAAAAAAGAAGTTACCGTTTGACATAATTACCCTTCTTAATAGTAACAAAACTCCTTCTGATAACCTAAGTCGTTATTAAACAGCATAAAACACATCAAGACATCCATATGGGACAATAAAGCCAAGAACCCAACAAATTTACATAAAAGAATATTTGGAAGCTTATGTTGTTTGTGGCCTTTCAACTTTCCTAAGAACACATCAACAACAATTTCCACCCACAAACAAATCATACAATAATAATATACTAATTAAGTACATCCTCATGTGCCTCAGATTCGATCACCAATTGCAGGGTGGGGTAGAGTAGCCAGGGATAGGCACACATCTCGATGCAATATTTCTTGCAACTTTCAATTATTGCACTACGTGTTTATAACTACAATAACTCTCATCAACCACTACTTGTTCAAAAAATGTGGAGCAATCTTCCTTCCGATCTCCTATCCAACATCTTCTCCTACCTCCCACCTCCCTCCATACCTCGCGCCACATCTGTCTGCCGCCACTGGCGCAACAGCGCTAGGGCGGCAACCCGAGACACAAGGCGGCACCACCACCACCCGCCATGGTTCATCGCCTTACCCACCAACAAGAACCACTTCTGTTTCATCCATAATCCAATCGAAAACACTTGGCACTCACTTAATCTCAAACATGTCCCGACCCTAATCAAACCCGTGTCAACAATCGGGGGACACGGTTTGATACTATTCAAATCCACGGGCGGTGCCCCGGTTCAACTCTCGGTTTGTAATCCGTTCACCGGGCAGTTCGGGCAGCTTCCGCCCCTTCAAAAACCGCGGACAAATCCCGCGGTGGGAATCATCGAGGTTTGTCCTGGGCAGTTTAAGGTGTACGTGGCGGGTGGGATGTCAGAGGTGGCAAGTGGTGGTGCCGCCTCGTACGAATCAACATTGGAAATGTTTGATTCCGATGTTAAAAAGTGGACGATTGTGGGGTCCATGCCGGTGGAGTTTTCCGTGAGGCTTACAGTGTGGACCCCAAATGAGAGTGTTTACTCGAATGGGGTTCTTTATTGGATGACATCAGCACGTGCTTATAGCATAATGGGGTTTAAATTGGATACGAATAAATGGAGGGAATTCAGTGTCCCGATGGGGTACATGTTGGAATTTGCTGCCCTTGTTCCGCGAAATGGACAGCTGGTGGTTGTTGGCGGGAGTCATGGCGGAGATGTGGTGGTTTGGGAGTTGGGTGAGGGAGGGGAATGGAATGTGATTGAAAGAATGCCGGTTGAATTAAGGAAAAGATTTGTTGGTGGGAGTGTAAAGTGTGTGGGGATTGAAGGGGGGGTTTGTTTGTATAGGGACATGGCTTCGGGAATGGTGGTGTGGAGAAGAGGTCGGAATTGTAAGGATAGATGGGAATGGAATTGGATTAAAGGTTGTAATCGGGTAAGTGGAAGACACATAGAAAATTACCCGATCAAAGGGGTTTTTCTTCACCCAAATCTTGCTTCTTCTCCTTTTATTTAGAGTCTGGTTGAATGGAATGGAATGACTAATGAATAGAATGAGTGATTATACTTTAGCATGATACTGTTTAGTTAGCATGTACGAATGAGATCAACTTTCAAATGAAAATTTTATATTATATGTAAATACAGTGTATAATTCTAACCCTACTATGTGGATTTTTTTATTACAATTCACGAACTTTTATTTACAAATATAAATTTTAATTATAAAAAAGCTCATTAAAGCCCATATAAGTTCTAATAAAATTATAAAAATAATATTTATTTTAGTTGCTTTCAAAAGTAAAATTTTAATTTGATGAAAACAAAAAAAATATCGAGAAAAAATTCCATTATATACATTACATAAATAAAAACAGGGTTATATTGCAATTTAAAAATAATAATAATAATAACGAAAAAACGCACCCCCTGGCAAATGAATGAAAATTAACAAAATGGTCTATTCCATCCGGCAAAACAAACACATTTTTTTTTTCATTTCTATGGAATCAACTATTCCATTCCTTCCTTGATTCATAACAAACATGTAGATAGACTTAGTCATCAATTCTTAGCATATATGCTAAAGTATATAAAAATTATATAGCGGAATCAAAACAAAATACCGCATTATGAATAAACTTAATTCCAAATTTACCCTTTTAAAGCTTTAAGATGAGGGCCTCATAGGTATCTTCTTGCAAGGGCCCGGACCTTTGTATCAAAATGTGAAGATGTGACACGAGATCCTGGTAAATAGAGAGGATTCAAAAGAATCTGCACATAGACAAAGTAAAAAGTAAAATTAACATTTTTTTTTTTTTTATCTTTTGATTCGTGTAGCCTTGAATAATATTTCAAGGCATAAATTTAATTACCTTTATATAAAGCTCATGGACCTCCTGAAAGAAGGTCTTGATTCCATCATCATTACGTGAGTCATGAAGCAGCATCAATCGAGTATGTAACACTTGAGTCAATGAAAATATATATGGAAAGATAACTAGATAAATTTACAAAATATAATGCTTTTTAAAAAGTAAGGTAAATTAATTACAAAAATAAAAAGGATATGACCCGCTGTAACGTATACTGACACCACCAAATCATTGAATCTGTCAACTGATTTCAAAAACCTGGCAAACATTAAAAAAAAAAAAAAAAAAAAAAAAAGAGTAAAATTTCTTGATTAAAATTGTGAAGAGATTGATTTATTATTATGAATCTTACATGGCACTTGTTGTCCATGCAAGATCCTGAACAACATCTAAAGCTGCATGGAGAATGAATTGGTGTTGATGTGCAGCTTCCTCTTTCTATAACGTCATTGCAAGGTATAAGTTGTGAGTGAAAAAGGTTCTTCACAAAATCTTTATATGATAAAATGCAAATTCACAAATGATATATCAAAGGAAAGCATACTTTAGGAGCACTTCCAACTTCTGCATCGTATATAGGAATGTCATTTCTGCTAATGATCATAAAACAAGCAGTGCTAGCCATTTGATTATATGAATATCTGCAACAACAAATTGATGCAAGTGTTACTATAAAATGAGATATATTTGTGTATCCAAAAGCTTTCTTGGATTTCATCATATCCAAATCAAGAATCGATATGTAAAATTAATTTCAAAATTGTAAACTTTATCCTTAAGTAATTGAAAAAGGAGATCACAATATTAGGGCTTGAACATAGTGCATTGAACTACGATGCACTTCTGACTAAAGATTTCATATACTCAAGAGACAAACACTCGATTGAGATCATGAATTTCTAAAAACAGCCGGTCGAGATTCTAGTTTTGCAGTCTAAGTCCAGATATGACTACATATTAATTTCATACAGAGCTACAAAATTACGGAAAAATGGCAACCCTAACCAATTGCAAAGGAAACGAGAATATCGCTATCAGCAGAAATATGACAAAGTAGCATCAATCAGATGATTATAATAGCAACCCTAATCAATCAAGGTTAGGGACATCAAAATATACGTGTATGTGACAGTAGAGGATTTGTGGTTTTAAGGTAAAGAGACAGAAGGGAAGACGTATACCGTATTCCGATCGGAGAGTTCCTCCGGTGGAGCAGTGGAGAGTTACGGAGTAAAATAAACCCGAAGTCCGATCCCCTCGGATCCCAGTATAGGAATAAAGAGTTTCAGTTTGACCCCTGTACTTTAACGTTATTGTGATTTGCTCCTCTAGTTAGGGTCAAATTCTCGTATATATTCTTGGTAGAGAAATTATGCAAATCAAGGTCAACTGATTGGTTTGTTATGGCTTCCACTTTTACAAGCATGATCATCCACCAAATGAGCATTAGGCTTGGTTTCATCAAAGCTCACATTCAATGATTGCTAAGCTTATTTAGAACTCTACATGTTTTACTATGTTAGAGTTAGTTATTAGTAAAGGGTAGATTAGTAATTTCTTTTTATTTTTATTTATACTTTACTCTCTTTTTCTTTGTACATATATGTATTCTTGTAGTTGGATCATTTCTAATGTACAGAATATAAAAAAGATTTCAAAACTCTCTCAATTTTTCTTGATCATAACATGGTGTTAGTTTTTCCTTCGATCCGTTCTTCCTTAATTCTTTGTTATTAATCTTAATCTCTCAAAATTCTCTTCAATTTCAATTTCATTTGTTCATTTTCCTCTCAATTTGATCAATCATGTATGATCTTGATAACGATTCCACGCAATCTACCATTATTGATAATTTAGCCCTTTCTATCTTGGATCATCTGATAATCCAAGCACCGTTCTCGTTTCTAATATTTTCACTTGGTTTTTCCGCTTGGAAACAATCAATGATTATTACTCTATCCGCCAAAAACAATATTGCTTTCGTCGATGGCACCATTTCTCCACCATCGGTCAATTCCACCTTACATGCGTGTTGGTACATATGGTAATCAGTTGGTTGGTAAACTCACTTCATCGAAACATTGATGATAACATTCTATTTCTTCAAATTGCTCATGCAATATGAAAAGAGCTTAATCATCGCTACGAAAATCTGGTGGCGCCCTCATCACAAGGATCTGATTCCATTTATTTCACAAAATTAATGATTATTTGTGATGAGCTTCGAATTGTTCAAGGTATTCCAGATTACACATATGCTGCTATCATTGGCATTAACAAATATCTTAAATATCAACACTTGATTCAATTACTCATGGGGTTAAATGACACTTATAAAGTTCTTTGAGGTCAAATTATGATGACGAAGTCACTTCCAACTGTCTCTGCTATTTACTCCATGATCATACAAGAGGAACACCAACAAGCCATTAATTTTTCTCAATCAATTAACATTGATGTATAAAGGTATAAAGATATGATTGAAAGTATATCTCTATTCAATGAATACGTGCCTTTAAATAGGCTAATTACACAATTAGATGAAGCCTCATATACAAGAGAAATAATAAAGTCTAAACTATAAATACAACAGAGATACTTGACTAACTATTTACATGTGATTGTAATCACTTAAGCCCAATGGATACGCGTGGTCCATTCTCTTTGATACGCCCCCGCAAGATGGAGGATCCATCAGATACACCAATCTTGGATCGATTTCAGAGAAAAAGAGCTCTAGATAAAGGCCTTGTGAGCATGTCTGCAAGCTGATCATGAGAGTTGATGTGAAGAACATGTAGATGTCCTGCAGTCACTTGTTTACGAACAAAATGGTAGTCTAGAGCAACATGCTTCATGCGTGAATGATAAACTGGATTGGCACAGACATACGTGGCTCCTATATTGTCACAAAATAACATGGGAGTTTGTTTTACAGATATACCCAGTTCATGAAGCAGATTCTTTAACCAAATAAGTTCAGCAGAAGCATTAGCTAATGCTTTGTATTCTGCTTCAGTAGAGGATCTAGATATTGACTTCTGTCGTGTAGACCGCCAAGAAACTATGTTGGAGCCCAACTAGAGAATATAGGCAGTAGTTGATCACCCTGCATCATTAATACCATCCCAATCTGAATCTAAGAAGGACGAGAGAGTGAGAGGAGATTGGCGATTGAGAAAGAGACCAAAGTGAATGGTGCCTTTGAGATACCTTAGAAGACGCTTTAGAGCTTGCCAGTGTGATTGAAGAGGGGTGTGCATAAACTGAGATAATTTGTTGATGGCGAAAGAGATATCTGGACGAGTAAAAGCCAAGTATTGAAGGGAACCAACAAGCTTACGATAGGGTGTGGCATCTACAGTTGGTGTGTCGTCATTAAGAGTCAAGGGATCTGATATACTGAATGGTGTGGACACATCTTTGGCACCTTCCATGTGAAATTGATTGAGAACATCTTGGATGTGTCGATGTTGGGAGAGAAATAATCCAGAAGGAGTAGGAATGACTTCTACTCCAAGAAAATGATGAAGCACGCCTAAATCTTTAAGGGAAAAATTATTGCTCAAGGCTGTGATAAAATGGGTGAGAAATTTGGAATCACTTCCAGTGAGGACAATATCATCTACGTACATAATAAAATAACAAGTGAGGTTATGACGGTTGTAAATAAACAGGGAAGCATCCGCTAAGGATTTAACGAAACCAAATTGTAGAAGAAAATAAGTTAACTCATTGTACCAAGCTCGAGGGGCTTGTTTAAGGCCATAAGGTGGGCTTTGTATTTGTCAATGCTACCATCAGGTTTGCGTTTGACCTGGAAGACCCATTTGCAACCAATAGGAGTGTGGGAGGTGGGTGGGACAAGTTGTTGGGTTTTCTATGCTACAACATCCTATGGTGCACATACAACCCTAAGTACCTTGGATCTATGTTTTCACTAATTATACATGCAAATGGTTTCCAAGGTATTAAACTTATAACTAGCATGCAGTTTGATATAAACAATACAAGATACTAGTTAGAGTAACATACCTTTATGTGGCTTGAAGTCTTGATGTATTTGGTGTTGCTAGAAAGACTTTGGCCTTTAAGAACTTAGTGCCCCAAGTGTTGCACCTCAAATGGAATCACAACTCAACTAGAACAAAGGTGACTCTTGAGAGAGAAACTCCATGCACCAAAAACCACCATGTTTCTCTAAGAACTAGAAGCACTTGCAAGTGGCGATTTTGGGCAATGGAGTATGTATTTATATGTGGTATTTCAAGGGTCATAGGTATAACCCAAATCCATACCCATGGGTATTATGATCCATGGATAATGTTGCCTAACTCTTTATGTATCCATACATAAACTTTGTCCAACATGGATCATAAGCCCAACACATATAAATAAAACTAATTATCATAATTAGTCCCCATAGATTCAATTAGTCTCTTTTTATCACTAAATTAATTCCAAATTAATTCTTGATCAATACAAATTAAAACATATGATTTCATATTAATATATTAGAACTTATAATATATTAATAAATCATATATAACCTTCTCTCAAGAGCCCATCTTAACAAATTGTCCTGGTGTTATGCAACCCAAATGGAACATGCTACTCTCGGGTTGAGTACATACCAATAATAGTTATGGGATTACAAACCTAATCCAACAGTCTCCCACTTGGATAAGTCTAAAACTATTATTGCCAGTATGACTCCAAAACCCGACTAGTAATCGTAGCTCTTAAAAGCCGTTGTCGAACTCTGATGTAGTGAATGACATGTCCATTAGATAAGGGATCATATATTCCTCCATTCTAGATATCATATGGACTGAGACATGGTTTATAATCATTCTCTCTGTCCGTCTGTTGTTTCCCGATTTCCGATTTATGACGACCGACTAATTGAACAAATCAAATCAGTCCAGGCCTAGCCGAGCACTTACGTTTGTCATCACTAAATCATCGAGGGGCCCACAAATGTCGCTTTTATCCCCATGGGTTAAAAGGAACGGATAAACTTCTATCCAAATGTTCGCTTGTACTCACTCGTCAAATTACACACAACGATATGTTTTATAACAACCAAGTTACTAGTTGTGTTTACATATGTCAATGTGCAACCGACGCGCAACTACAACTCACACGTCTCCGTTTGAATAATATAAGATATTATCGTCTCATTATCACTCGTGATAAAATCCATGAAGTGATTCAAATGAGCGTGGGTTTAATCC